GGCCTGAACATCTTGATGTGCAGCTACCGCCGTGCAACCACCGGCCGTTGCCTGCCATGCCTGCCATTCCGCAGCGCTGCGGCGGTGGAGCCGCGGCTAGCAGGACCCACGTCTGACACGGAGTAAGGGCCAGCGGCTCAGCACAGCCGAGATGCGGACCGGGCACTTTAGAGCACGGGACGCCTGCATGTTTCTGTGCGCACAGATGCAAAGCGTCCGTGATTGAACATCTCAAACACGTGTGTTAGGGGGCTGCAATCTGCTGACACCGATCCTTCCTTGGCATGTCTCGCTGAGAAATCGGGTGCGCACAGTCTAATTGATCGGTTTTGTTGGCTTCGGTTTTGTGCCGTCGGGCCTTTGTGCTCAAGCAGAGGACGCAGAATGGTGAACGCAATAGCCGTGAAGTTCAGACTCCTTTGAGACTGTGCGATTGCTTTCTTTGCTGCGAGCTTGGGCCCAAAGCCGTGTGCAGTTGAGACCAGGGGGGTCGGGGTTGGGGTGACGTGGCCCAGAGAAAAGTCGTGGGCTGTGTTGAACCAATCCCCCGCCTGGCCCGACTCCGGTGGCACAATTTTAGGGTGGCCCACAGCTAGTGTACTGTAGTTCTAGTCTTGCTCGGGCCTCGTACTCTCTTGTCTTCTATTCAAAAGCACGAGCTGATGCTTTCGTCGAAACTTGACCGTGGGCGCACCCTGCCACCCCTTTTCATGTGAGTTCTAACCAGATCCTGGGTGCAGCACGATTGCATGTTCAGATCATCCGCGCTCCTTGATGGAGCGCAATCTGCTGGACCCGGCGAGGAAAGAAAAGGTTAGTGGGAATGGTGGCGAAGGTTTTACGAAGGCTGTGCGATGAGTTGGTGTTACGCAGGAAGCCTGCCCAATGATGTGGCTTTCATTGGCTTGGCGTTGGAGGGGCCACGGAGCAGTTCTTCAATCAATCTGGGGAATCCACGAAGTATATAGAGCCAGCGCTTTTAAACGTATTTGGCAGACTTGCAAGTCGTTTGCCCTTTATGGTGGTCACTGGACTGACAGCATACTGTAGGGCTTTATCTTTTTTTGGTTGGCTCCTTGCTGCACCAAAACCCCATCAAAATTGTTAAGGCCCCCATGCCAAAACCCCACTATAATTGTTAAGTAAAGCTCCTACATCAAGAGCCCCAGCGTTTGGATTCTGAGATCTCCGACGCTCGCCCCTACGACTTTCAACCGAATCACTGTCGCAGGGTGCATAGACTTCAGCGCCTGCCTCAGCTCGAGCTGCCATCTTCCACAGGCCGCCAGGGTTAGGGTTCAGGGGTTTAGGGTTTAAGGTTTACTGTAGGGGGGGGGAACTGTGTAGCGGCCTCTTCGTGCTTGGCCACGCAGACGAAGAGCGAAGTTCCCGAGGCTTTTGCACAAAATCTCCGTGGCTTCTACTTCGGACGCGTTACATGTGCAGTTGCATCATATCTTTGTGGGGTGCGATTGTCGCAACACCATCCGGGAATCCGTTCTTTGTCCGTTTTGCTCGCAGACAAGGTCCCATGTTACGCTCAGTTTCAACAAGATGCTTCCAGCAGTGTCTAGGAGGTTGAAGTGGTCGGCTGAAGCATGATGCGAGCTCTGCAAAAAGCTGTGAGTCTTTGCCGCGATGCAACTGGAACAGTGACTGGGATTGGACCTGTTGGTGTCACGTTCTTCCTAACTTGCGACACGTCAGACACCTCCGCATCTCAAACATGGCAACAGTGGCTGGCAGAAAGTCGATAAATGCACGAGTGTCACTGTTTTGTGGGACCACGTCCTCGGTGCGGTTCGCACATCGAAGGAAATCGACCCCCCACAAAGTGCGCTTTCTTTTCATTCTCATGCGTTGAACAACATGAACAACCTCGGAGCAGTCGCCAGACCGACAAGCCGCCTGACTGAGGGAGCCACCTACTTCCTGTCGGAGCAGTCAGCGATGCCACTGCTGCAGCGGCGGATCGGGGCTTGTCAGCTTCTGTTTGCATACTTGCCTGTTTTCTAGCATGACGCAACACGCCTCGGTTGGAGTATGTCAGCGAGAGCATATGAGAGCATGGTTACAGCCGAGGTAGGTGGTGGTGTTGTCTGCAGCCCTTGCAAAATTGAAGGTACTACATGCTTGCATGTTGTCGTAAGTGTGAAACCATGTTGACATGTAATGTATGAAGAATTATACGCATATATGTTTATGTACATGTGGTTGTGTTGGCTTGTAAGTACACGCAAGCACAGAACCACCTCTTCCTGGTCGGAGACGGATGATGGATCTGGCAAGCGTGTTTTCTGCAGCCGAAGAGTTGTTACGTACAGGTTCCTGACCGTCCATGCTAGCGAACTCAACCGCTAGATCAAAAGTAAGATCCACTGAACTATTCAACCCTTTCATGCGCTTCTTGAATGGCACGGTCGAGTGACTCTAGTCCGCAAGTTGCGAGGAGGCAGAGGAGGGCACGACGGTGCCGAGCGGCAACGTCCCGGTCTTCGCATCGGTGGAGGAGCCGAGGGAAAAGGCTGACAGGCCCACACGCTACTCCGATTGTCTTTGAACGGCCTGCATCCTGTCGGTATTCTTCCACGAGTTGAGAAATGTTGAGCATACCTATCGGTCCTTTTTTCTTGGAGGAGCAGTCCTCCAGCGCGTGAGCCCACGCCCCAGGTTAGCGTGCATCGCAACACAAGCTTCCTTGCTGTGTGGCCTTCCTTGTTGCAGCGAACGAAAGCGAAGCAGAAACGACGCCGTTAATCTGTAGTACTTGTTTGTCTGTTTATGTGCTGTTATGTATATGTATATTGCACATACACACATCTTCTGCAGCATTTAGAGGTCATTGTAATTGTAAGTCACTCCACAGACGCAGTCATTCCCTCTCTATTCAATCTGACCGTTTTCTCAGGAGACCTTCGCTGTGGTCTTCGGGTGAGATGGAGGAGCACTTGGACTGGCCACGAGCCCGCAAGAGGAGTGGGCCACGGCCAGGTTGATCCAGACAACCAGTGCTGTCAAGTATTCAGACAGTGATGCAGTCGCACTTGGTACCGCCGTCGTCACTGTCGCCGTTGTGGTCGACCTCCTTCCTGCAGTTGAAGCAGCATCGTTGCAGCGGAACCGGCGGTGCAGTAGCAGTAGCAGAAGCAGTAGTCATCGCACTCGACGTCGTAGTGCAGTCGTAGCAGTCGAAGTCGTACTCGTATTCGTAGTAGTTTGTAGCAGTAGCCGTAGTAGTAGCTGTAGATTGTGCCGGGAATTTAGAACACCTGTGAAAAGCAAATCTTGGTCAACTTGCAATTTTTGAGCTTGGTCATCTTGCTCGGCCACTGGTCATCTTGCCCCACTTGCTCGCCGACTAGTTTACCATTTAGACCTAGATGACCAAGATTGCATGGTCATCTTGTCCCCCTTCAAGCGGGGCAAGATGACCAAGATTGCTGGCAATCTTGCTAAAACATTGGATAAAATTCCCGACACACTCTAGCAGTAGTTGCTGTAGTAGTAGTCGTCGTCGTTGTCGTCGTTGTGGTCGTACTAGCACAACAACTACTACCACCACTACTACTGCTGCTGCTGCTGATGCTACCACTAGCACTACCACCACCTACTACTACCATGACCACTACGATTACTACGACTACTACGACTACTACTACTACTACTACTACTACTACTAGTACTACTACTACTACTACAACTACTACTACTACTACTACT